GGTGGGGCATGAAATGACAGAAGTTTGTTAAATTAATTGGCCTTGTTTTTGGGGGGTTGGCTATGTATGTTCTGGAGGTGGGTGGGGGGCAGTGAAGGGAGTGTTTCTTGCGAAAGAAAGTTAATTGGAAGAACATGGGCCAAATGTTAATTAGTCTCATGTCCTAAGCATCTGCTAGTATTTCCTCGATACCTCCTATCCACGTCAAGATTCCTTTTTCTCTCCTGCTGGTGTTGCAAGGTGCTGGGAACAGGCTCTGCAGAGCACAGGCATGGGCTCTAATGCCCCGTATTCTTTCTGCACTGTCCCCACACCAAGAGAACACAACCTTTCGAAAGAAGGCTGCTACTGCTGGATGGAAAGCCCTTGCTAGAGTGACTCAAACCGTTTTCTTCTCTGTTTGTCATTCATTAGAGAAGCCCCATCTCCTAAAAGGGTTATGAAGTTCAAACGAAATACAGTGCAATTCAGAGACTGCACAAAAGGTTGGGGTCATAGCCTATCCCCTCTGTCACCCATCACTGAGACTCTTGCCTCAGATCCCCCTGACAGATCCCGTCTTTGGGGGGGGGGGGAGTATGAAGCCAACCCCCCCCCCATTGGTGAAGTTTTTGGCCACGACTGCAGGGAAATCAGGTCAAATAGCAATGCCAGAGCCTATGGGAAACTTGCTAGACTATTACGCTTCTTCAGGCAGCGAAATGTGTACTTTGTGTTTATACAAGAATAACAACTGGAAGATGGAGAGATTTGGCTCTTAAGTCTGCCAGGAACCCGCTCTGTCATTTAGATGACTGCATTGCATTGGTCTCAGTTTTTACATAAGGAAAATGGCCATCTTCCTCAGATATAGTTACTGATTCCCTCAGAACGAGATAAACTGGCCAACGATTAAGTGGTGCACAGACCCTTTCAGCAACTCGGAGGAAGGCTATGCTCGAAGTTTCTAAAAGGTTTTGTCAACATTCTGATACTCTTTCAAGACACATATCAGTCTACTGCTGCTCAAATCTGACCAGCTGAACAAGTGTGGCCTTCCTGAGTCACTTCACACCTGTCACGAGGCTGAGACCCTCCCCGAGAAAAGCACTGAGGGCATCTAGGAAATACCATTTGGCTAATGGCTCTGACTCCAAGCTTTAGAGGAATCTTTACATGAGGGAGAAGACATGTTGGAGTCTCCAGAAGAAAACCAAACTAGAAGACACACACACACAGAGAAACGATGTGCCCTTCTTTATGGTGTCTGTTCATTTCTTGACAGGAAACGAGAAAGCCCATTCCACCACAGTTCACACACGTTCCAGCTCACGAGTTCCAAGTGGGAATGGCCAACACCACTAGATAACGAGTCAAAATCCACAAATTATTTTTAACATGTCAGCCTCCTCTGGAAAGATCTACAATGAATTGACCGTAACAACTCCAAAACCATTAAATCCAATTCCCTTTAAGTTAGTAAGTGGGGAAAGGCCTCTGATGGAATGTAATGGCAGAAAGAAGACAACATGGAAAACTATATACACTAGTGTCTTAGTTATATATATATTTTTTAATGTTTATTTATTTTTGAGAGAGTGCGAGCAGGGAAAGGGCAGAGAGGGAGACAGAAGATCCAAAGTGGGCTCCATGCTGACAGCAAAGAGTCAGATGCAGGCCTTGAACTCACCAACCTCAAGATCATGCCCTGAGCCAAAGTCAGATGCTAAACTGACTGAGCCACCCAGGTGCCCCCAATTATATATATATTTTTTAAAGGCATAAGACTCAAAAAAGCTGGAAGGCAATATACAAAAATATTAATAGCATTGCCCAGGGGAATTTTTTTCCTACTCTGAAGACACTTTTAGGAAATGTTTTCCATTTTCTACAATAACCATGCAATCCCTTTATTATTGGGGGGAGTTAAAAGATTGGTAGAAAAAGGGTGTGGAGCTGAAAAAACATGTAAAAAACATATTAGCAAATATTAAAAAAAACCTGAACCAAAAGTTTAGAAACTTCGTCTCCACTAAATGCTTTTAAAATATGATGAAAGCCCCCTGCCACTATTTTTTATGATACCTGTTTCCTCTTTGCCCAACTGTGTACGCTCACAGGGGAGGGGGGACTATGGGCCAAGCCTCCCAGCTTCCAACCTCAAATCTCTCTATCACCTGGTGGTCTGCAGCAGACCTCAAGAAAGCTCTCTGAGCCTCAGTTGATTTGTCTGCATATCAGGTGTCCAGAGAGAAGTAGAGGATATGGAGGAGTAGAAGGTGAGGAGAAATGGAAAGATTAGTTCCATTTTGAATATGATCCGATATATTAATATATTGGATCCAATATATTAATAAGCACTTCAATATGATAAGTAGTAAGACTGAAGACCCTTTCTCTTTTTTTAAGTTTACGTATTTATTTTTGAGAGCAAGACAGACAGCAAGTGGGGGAGGGGCAGAGAGAGAGAGAGAGAGAGAGAGAGAGAATCCCTAGCGGGCTCCACACTGTCAGCACAGAGCCTGATGCAGGGCTTGAATGCATGAACCATGAGATCATGACTTGAGCTGAAACCAAGAGTCGGTTAAGTCTTAAATGACTTAAGCCACCCAGGTGCCCCTGAAGATGCTTTCTTTCCTCTCTTCTTTCATTAATAGGTAAACCAGGCTGTTCAGAGTGAGCTCTTGTCTTTAAGTTTTCTTCACAATATTCCTAATAAAGCCAAACAACCAAAAGTAGGCTTGTGCCAGCCCCCCTACCCCCCACCCCCCGCCTTGCGTAAAAAGAGGCGATCCTGAGAAGGGATGAATCCCAAAGCTATCGAAATCCAGGTTCTAATTGCCAATTCTCCTACCCTGTTGTTTTTTAAACAAGGTTGGCATGATTCTGATCCCCTTACCGTCTTTCGCTCCCCAACTTTGCCTAAAGAAATAAGGAGGAGCTTCATCATATATTATTTGTCCCTTTTCCAACTCATTAGGGATGTTATAAGGACTAAAACGACATGGATTCCTAGAGGTGATTTGAGAAGGAAATGTATGGTAGAAGTGCAAAATATCCTGGATAGATACAAAGTAATAAGTAAGAAATTAACAGAATATGTAAGAGCATAGTAAAGAAATACAGGAAGAGTTGCCTGTGGAATTTTCCATTGCTTGATATTGGAATGATTCCCACTCTACCGTCAACTCTGGAATCATAAAATGAAAGATTAACAGTTTCAAGACTACGTGCCAGTAGCTCCAATAATATATAATATAATATACTGGTCATAACATACAAGCTCATACACTTACAAGAAGTCAGGAGTTTCACTTTTGGAGTACAGATCTGTATCATCTTCCCTATTGCCACTGGACAGGAAAGAAATGCCAACGGAGTTCTGGGTCTCACCTTGCAGAAGCAGTGAGGGTTAGAGTTTACTTTTATTAACACATTCACCCAAACCGTCTTCCAAACAGCTCTGCCAGGGCCCCACACTACTGATGCTAAAAACTGCAGAGATAACTACCCCTGATGTTACTTCTAAACTGAGGAAGAAGCTTATATGCTCTAAATCTGGGCATTTTAAAGAGGAATCTACGAACCTAAGTCCATGATTTTCATGCAAAATCACATTTACAAATGCCAGCACTTGGAAATTAAATGCATTAAAGTCCCGTAAGGAATCACGCTCATTGTTTTCATGTTGTTCTTTTTCGGCCAAGGTTTAAAGCCACCTCCTATTCCTTATCCCAGGATGTGCTATAGGAATCTATGAAACTTAATTACATTGACTGTTACAAAAAAGGATTTATGAACTTTTGCATTTAGGCAGAAATGTTTATTTCATTGCCTTTGCTATTCATTCTTTTCAACTCCGACGGCTTTGAACTTTTCAGCTGCTCAGAGTTATCACCCTTGTGCAGAGCCCAGGAACTGCACTCCCCAACACACCAACCACAAGTTGAAGAAAACGAAGAAGGCGAAGATATATGAGTCGTTATTTTGGCCACCCTTTGTGCCATTAAAATCTCATTTTCTGCCTATTAGAATGCCCTCTTGGTGCTTAGGCAGCGGTGATAGTCGGTGATTAGTGTGTAATTGAGTATAATTGTCTTTTCACTTTTCATTTCTGTCATTCTGAGCTTCCCTCTGTTTTTCTCACCACCAAGAGGAAAACGGGGGTTAAGAAAAGATAAAGCTGTTAAAACTCTCACTCTCGGCCCTGAAGAGATTCTCGATTGCAATTATAGATTGCAACCCCTTTGTGACATTTCTCCAAATTTAGTGGGCAGCTATCCTCGCCACCTGGGCCAAGAGCTCTCTAATAAAATCAGGCGGTCTGTATTTAAACAACTGCTAATAATGTCAACCTCACACAGATGCCACATGTAGGAAATTTATCCAACCCTCTGACATGCAATTACCAAGGCAATTTATTAATATGATCTCTGAAGAAAGGCTCACAGCCCAATGCAAATTAGAAAAACAATTACAACATCCAACTATCTATATATTCCCAAAGTAGCAGTAATTCTCCTAATTTGTGCATTTATAACTCATTTATCCCCGAGTTCTGTAGTCATCAGCTGATCTCTCTCTGCGCAACTTGTTTGCTTCCTCTCCAATTGTTTTATAAAAGCTTTGGTGTTTTCCTATCGGCGCTTTTGTTCACAACCGTATCAGCTGATCAAGTACCTTTTTAAAAACAACAACAACAACAAAATGCATGTGAGCTGCTGACCCGAAGCTCAGAGTTAGGGGTGGAGCCAATCAACGCCTTGACAGCTCAGTATAAACACAGAATATCCATGATTACCTTAAAAAATCACTTGGATTTTAAGTCCGAGCTACAACTTTTGATACGGGTCCGTAGGAAGAGTGGAGAGAGAAAGGAAACCAGAAAACTGAAATCATGTGGCTTGTATAAAGAATACATTATGGTTTAAATTTGGCAATTCATTACAGGACTGCCTCGGGGAGTTGACTGTTTGGTTCTGGTATACAGCAAATCGTCTGTCTGGAAACACGGGACTGACCTGAGGTGAAAGGCCATTGCCAATGGCGGGGTTCATGGGGTTGGAGGGCCCAGACGGAGGCACAAAGCTGTCTGTATAGCTGGAAAATCCATGCCTGGTGCTGGGGAGGCAGTAGGCAGAGCTGCTGTCTGGGTTCGAAGGAATAGTGCTTTGGTGTACTGTGCTCGGAGGAAGCGGCTGAGGTCTGTGCACCGTGCTGCTGGGATCCGACACGGCTGCAATGGAGAAGACTGTCAGCTCGAAGGTGCCAGTGCAGGTCGGCAGAAGACGTTCAGTGCACAATTCACATCACCGAGCCAAGCGGCAGTCTCTACCGCTCAGACCAAACCGTACTTTCAAACTGCATTCCTTCGCACGCATACAGCGCCACTCAGAACAAACACAGCCACGTCTCTGCGTGTGTGCGCGAGTACATAACTGACTTGTACAATTCCGCGGCATACTCACCCAGAATGCGAGAGCAGAAATCACATTAAAGGTGATAACAAACCTATTTTGGTAGTGAGTGGTATTAATCAGGGTAAGAATTAACCAAGGTAAGAATTGCAAGTCTCACGTTTCTTGTCAAATATACTTTCCTTTGTTTTTTCTTTAATGTTTATTTTTGAGAGAGAGAGAGCACACAAGCAGGGGGGAGCCAGGGAGAGAGGGAGAAAAAGAGGATCCCAAGCAAGGTCTGCACTGTCAGGACAGAGTCCATCGTGGGGCTCGAACTCACCACCAGTGAGATCATGACCTGAGCCAAGATCAAGAGTCAGACGCTTACCGACTGAGCCACCCAGGCACCCCTGGCCAAATGCACTTTCAACGTACCTAAATAGCAGTGTGGAATGCCTGCAGTGCTCTCTTCCATAATCCAAAGCCATCCAGTCGTATCACTTATCCCATTCACCTCCGTATGCCGTCAATTAGTGACTTTATCAAAGCTTACCTTCCCTCTATCCCTGCTGCAGTTAGTAACTATCATAGAACTTTAGTTCATTGCACCTGGGGTGCAATTAACTAACTAATTTAGTTAGTACCTGGGGTACTAACGAAGTAAAACTTTGACAAAGCTAATCCCATATTTATTTAGGAGAGCTGTTTTATTTGGTTTCATTGTTTTGTTTTAAAATAATGAAATAGAATTATATTGCGCAAAGCACAGTTCCTAGAGAGATCCTAATGTGTCATAGAACAGACTATGTTTCTGAAATGCGTCAGGTACATTTAAGACAACCTGATACAATGTAATTAGCCTACAGAGAGCAACAATGTCAGCCTCGCCCTGGAGTTCCCTGCCTGTGTAAAATAGGCTGCAGAGAGAGCATTCCGCGTAACATTTTAGCCCCTTGACTCCCCCTCCCTGCGTACCTTGTGGAATAGCGGTGGGCTGGTAAGACGTCTCCGACAGCTGGTACGTTGGCAGAGTCGGCATGGCAGTGGGAGGGAATCCCCCCGGAATGAGATGGTTGAAAGCCATCAGTTGATTGGCCCCAGCTTGCTTCCTCCATCTCGCACGGCGGTTGCTAAACCAAACCTATGGATTTAATTTAAAATTTGAGGATTTCACTGATGAAATAATAGTACATTCTTAATGAATTTTTCATGCTAAAACAGATTAAAGGCCCCTTACTGACAGGGCAAATAGATGCAAGAGCCCTCTACCTTCTGTGTTATATTGTCAGGGGAGAAAGGAGAGTTCAATGTCACGGGGCCAGGAGAGGGGCTTCCTGCGGAGCACCCACAACCCCATGATGATCATGGGCAGGGAGGGCTGAGCATGGCTGGGAACGACAGGAACTCTCCACTGTCACCATCACCAACACCGACCCACCTTCATCTGCTTTCGCATCATACGGAGGATGCAGAGCCTCTCTGACCCGTACACGACATATATCCTAATTTGGTCTTCCCTATCACACTAACTTTGTATTATCGGTCTGCCTTGGCACTTCTCTACCTTATAAGCATAGCTCCTATATCAGGATACAAATTGACCACGAGGATAAATGGAGCCCTTTTACCATCGCTGTCAACGTTGAGACATTGTTCTGATCTTAATGGAAATAAATGCCAAAGAGGTAAGTATTTTAAGAAATGAAAGCATTTTATCTAAGAAGATCCCTTAAATAATTAGTTTATTATTTCTTTCAATGACAGCTTTAAGCACCTATATTATTCTATGCCAAGCACTGTGATGGCCAGGTATATTCAGAAAAAAACCTTGGTGTAATATAATAAAATGCCTTTAAGGAATAGCAGCTGGAGAAATGGCAAAAATAGGAGCAAGAAACGTAACTGCACACCCAAATGTTAAGGAACTGTGATACAGGCTTTTAGTGGGACCCATCATCTTGCCCAATTCTTATAGCTGCAGCTTAAAAGTGGAATTCTTTTTAAAAGTTTAATTTACTCATTTTGGGGGCGGGGGTGGGGGGGGCCAAGAGAGAGAGGGAGGGAATTCCAAGGAGGCTCTGCGCTGCCAGCACAGACCCCAGGGCAGCGCTCGATCTCATTAACCATGAGATCGTGACCTGAGCTGAAGTCGCTTAACCAACTGCACCAACCAGGCACCCCTTAAATGCGGAACTTTGGATGATTTGACAGAGTGTGTATGTGATGCTTCCCCTAAAATTAGAGAGTATTTCTACCAACTAAGGATATTCTAATTACGGGGCGCTCAGATGGTTAAGCGTCCGACTTCAGCTCAGGTCATGATCTCGCAGTCCGTGAGTTCAAGCCCTGCATCAGGCTCTGTGCTGACAGCTCAGACCCTGGAGCCTGCTTCGGATTCTGTGTCTCCCTCTCTCTCTGCCCCCCAACCCCGCCACTCTTCCTGTCTCTGTCTCTCTCTTTCCTCTCTCTCTCAAAAATAAACAAATATTTTTAAAAATATATTCTAATTCCTAATCAGAAGGGCATTGAAAACTTCATATGGATAAAGTACCGTGCTTGGGGCCAGAGGGAAAAGGGATGAATAAAATGTCAGGATAAGGGGTGCCTGGGTGGCTTAGTCGGTTGAGCGTCCGACTTTCGCTTGGGTCATGATCTCGCGGTTCGTGGGTTCGAGCCCCGCGTCGGGCTCTGTGCTGACTGCCAGCTCAGAGCCTGGAGCCTGCTTCAGATTCTGTGTCTCCCTCTCTCTCTGACTCTCCCCTGCTCACGCTGTCTCTCTCTCCTAGAAATAAATAAAAATATTTTTTAAAAAAAATGTCAGGATAAGACAGAGTCCCTACACCCAGTGGCTTTCAGACTTGCCCTCTGGAATTCCCAGAGCCCTTAAGGAAACCAAAATCATTGCTCACTAGATGCAGAAGCTCCATATTTGGAAATGCAGAGAATTGGGGGAAGTTTGGAGTGGAGACAGAATCTGAACTCATCTTGTAGTATGGATGGGACTTTAACAAAAGGTCGCCCCAGATGGAGGGAATAATACAGAAGACCAGAGTGTCCAAGAAAAGGTAAAACTAGATTTCCTTATAGAACAAAGCTAACATTTAGACAACTTAATTGTAATTTTTTTTTAAGTCATGGAAACTTTTAAAGGAGTGGAGGGAGGAATTTCTCTGTCTTGGAGCAAGAAAACCCAGTTTAACAAATCCTTTGCCAAGGTATCTGCTTAAACCTTTGTGATGCACCCAAGCATTTGTCTGAAAAGGAGTCGGGATGTCTCCAGGCATAAGACACTGGTAAGGAAAGCTGTATGAACTTCCTCAAAATACTAACATTTAGTACTCCTTAAGTTTCCAACAGGAAAAGAAGGTAAGTCAATATTTTCCCATGTTGATACATAATTGAATTAGAGTTTTACTTAACCTAATAAATTGCCACCTGGGATAATAGAAGCATGAGCAGCAAGCACTCAATTTCAGGTCTGTATCCACCATGTTTTCTCACTGCAAAGCTAAGCATCTGCTGTCATGACTCCCAGAAGTGCTTCGAACAAGCTGTTTGGGGCTGAGGAGGCTGCAGGAAGGAATGCGGGCTGTATTCACACCTAAGTGTGCCATACTATACGACACACCGTGTCGTATTTTGTATTCTAAACTCTCCAGATTAATGAGTCACACTCCGTTCAGGTGAAGTGGTCTCTGACACCTACCTCAACCAAACTGTGTGCTCTGGATCGCCAGCTTTAGGCTGGAAAGAGAGTTAAATTTTCAAAAGGTCACTCACTCAGACTTATGATCCTCCATCCTACTGCTGAGATCCTACGTGAAGAACTCAGAGTTCACACTTCCATCGTCATCAGATCATACTGCCAATCTCCCTGTGCCAACTTCCTGCTGTAACCTTTAGATAAGTAAAGCAAGTTTGATTTACCCAGCGGGTGGTGATGCCTGATCACTCCTTCGAGCTCAACCTACTTGTGATCCGGATAATTCTGACTCCTCCATCACCCACTTTTTTTTTTTACATGAAAAATGTTTTTGCCCAAATAATAAGTAATAAGAAACTTGACAACTTCCTACAAATATCTTCAGATATCCAAAAGACTAGGGAAGGAAGGGTTTTGGCGGGGAGGGGTTCTTTTCATTTTTCCAAAATGATACAAATACTGAAGACACTGAGCAAACCTACCAGGAGTTGTATTTAAAAGTTCTTACACTTACAATGTGATATCTATTATACCTACGACAAAAGATGAACAGAGATCATTGGGAAGCAAATCTTTACTGAAAAACAAACCTTCTACAGGAGGTTCAAGAGTTTGCCAGTGGAAGGAATTTAAATGTTTAAATTTAGGCTAAATAAATCCAGAGGGCTCTTCCTGAGAGAACCAGAGATTAGTGAGGGCTGTCCTTCCTGTCTCTAGCCATTTAACCAGATTTGTTATTATCTGGCCATTGCCAGCCTTCTGCCTTTCCTAGAACCAGCTGTGTCTGCCAAAAGAAGCATTAATATATATATTTTAATGTATAATTGTGTTTACATATACATACATAAAAGAAAATCATTCTTGCCTTCTTTATACTTCGAAACTCATAAAAGACATATCTGCTGGGTATTTTTGCTGGGTTTAAAAAAATTTTTTTAATGCTCTATTTATTTCTAAGAAAGAGAGAGAGACAGCCTGAGCAGGGGAGGGTCAGAGAGATAGGGAGACACAGAACCTGAAGCAGGCTGCAGGCTCTGAGCTGGCCATCAGCACAGAGCCCAACGCAGGGCTCGAACCCATGAACCATGAGATCATGACCTGAACCGAAGTCAGATGCTTAACCGACTGAGCCACCCAGGCACCCCATATCTACTGTTTTTAATAGGAAAAAAGTGTCCTTGAAATAACCTTCATTCTATTTTTTCTATTTGTTTTTAATTTTATTAACGACTATTTATTTTGGGGGCGCCTGGGTGGCTTAGTCGGTTGAGCGTCCGACTTTCGCTTAGGTCATGATCTCGCGGTTCGTGGGTTCGAGCCCCACGTCGGGCTCTGTGCTGACTGCCAGCTCAGAGCCTGGAGCCTGCTTCAGTCTGTGACTCCCTCTCTCTCTGACCCTCCCCTGCTCACGCTGTCTCTCTCTCTCTCTCCTAGAAATAAAGAAAACATTTTTTAAAAAATGACTATTTTGAGCAGAGGAGGGGCAGAGAGAGAGGGAGACACAAAATCTGAAGCAGCTCCAGACTCTGAGCTGTCAGCACAGAGCCCAATGTGAGGCTCAAACTGGCGAACCGTGAGATCATGACCTGAGCCGAAGTCAGACACTTGACCGACTGAGCCACCCAGGCGCCCCTTCATTTTCAGTATCTAAGCTGACCAAGCACAGTGATCCGGGGTTCTGTTATGACCCCGTCTTTGACTGAAAGACATTCTCTTAGCATCCAGAGGTCTCAGATAACTCTTTCAATAGTGTATCACTAATTCCTAACAATCAATGATTCATCTTCTAAATGAACCGGGTGACTGCATGACACTGAATAACTTCATCTGAAATGGGTGGAAGGCATTTATGACTCAGTTGTTACAGTTACTAGAAACTGCCCTTTGTTTTGAAAAGAGCAGCAATGGCAACAGAAACAAACTGGCCTTTGGTGTTGGGAGAGACTCTTGAGTGTGCCGCCAATCTGTTAGCCAGTAGGGCAGAAAGACCAAGTCTTACAAAGTCGGCTATCTACATGTTAAGTACAATTCTGTGACCTCTAATTCAGTGTAATCTCACTCTCTCCACGCATTATCTGGCCTTCCACATAACACCTAACATGGTATGGAAGTGGAACAGGAGGCATATATTAGCTGACAACTACACTAACTCCAGTTAAATGCTGTTAATTGCCTGTATAATACCACCGGACATCAAAACCCTCCCTCAAAGCACGTTTTTCATTCATTTGATGAACTGCGACCTCGTTCATTTTCATCTGCCCCTGGATCTTTCCCCACTGGTCTTTCTCTCTACAGAGCCCTTCCACAAAGCTATATTCATGCCTTTGGGAAATGATCTTTAGACCCATTTCTGAGGTACTATGATATCCAGTGAGTTTTTGAAGCAAAATTTAAATTGATTGAAAGATCTCATCACGTCATGAGAACTAGGGGAA